TCTACCTGAGACCCTCTGTTCTACCTGAGACCCTCTGTTCTACCTGAGACCCTCTTGGGGGGGGGGGGGGGGGGGGGATGATTCTACCACTAGATGTCGCTGAAAACAACAAATCCTACACACTGTGCCTTTAAGACAGGTGCTTAAAGCTATAAACAGTGGTGGGCACAGCTAACCAAAGTTAGCTTTTACTAACTTACAGTCTGCTAAGTTAAGAAATAGCTTCACTATATCTGAACCGCTAAACAAATAAAAATAAGCTGAAGCTAAGACTAATCGCTAACCGCTAAGACGTCTGTCTCTCAGTCTTTGTCTCCTTCCAGCTGAAGACCGGTGGGACTGACAAACCTGTTGTTAGTTTTTTAGTTAGTTGATAGTTGGCAAAACCTAATTTAGCAGAAGCTAACCGATTTTCTGTTTTCAAAGTTAGCAAAAAAGCTAATTCGCTAGATTAAATATTTTTTCCGCTGTTAGCTGATTAGCAGAACCATGCCCACCATTGGCTATAAAACACTTTTTTCCCATTCTGAATAAATAGTGTAGTGGTCACCCTGGGTGGAATAAACGTTCCACCTGCCTTTGACCTTGACCACGGAAGGCCTCCTTTAAAGAACAGAAATCTGTTCATTTTTATGGTCATAACATGTTTTCTTAAACAATTAAAAGTATCACATCTCTCTTTTTTATTCTAAGAACTGTTTTAACAAAATAAAATGTGAACATTTAAAGCTTTGTTTTATGTCTTTTATTTTTTAGATGGAAATAACAGAACAGAACTGCTTACACCTGTTCCCTCAAGAAACAGTTGTCTACCTCACTCCTGATGTTGAAGAAGGTTTGACTAATTATATTTTATTCTCACATACTGTATTTTCAGTTGCAGTAAAGGCAAGTTTATTTTTCRGACGTTACATGTTATTGCCAGCAGATAGCGCCATTTGACCACAAAGTTACTCAGAAATCATCATCAAAAAATTAATCAGACACAAAAATACCTCGAGGAATTAAACCAAGACCAAAAAATGATCAAAGATACACAACATTATGTAGGGGTGACCTCGAGTGAGAAAACAGGATTTTCTGCCTCTAAGCAGGCCTCAGACGGGCCTGGAATGAAGACAGAAACTGTGTTCCACTCTGAACATTTTTTAGGCAATGACAGGTCATTCTAACTGGGGAAGAAAACCTCTCTTCCTCTTAAATCAGATAATGAACAGAATAATCTCCATTGGTCATGAKTCATTTGTCATTTAACTAAGAATGTTTATGCATTTGTTAAATCAAAGATAATGCCTGTCACATGAAGAGTAGAACAACTTCTTTTCTCTGATTGTGCCATAAAGATTTATACTGGTATAAAAAGAATCACAGAGAATCTGATTACAATGTTTTCATTGTGTTTTTATGCATATCACTGTTTTTATTTTACTGTAAACACAGTAATATAATTGTGGATTTTTCTTGAGAAAATCTTTCATTTATCTAAACTAACAAAATGTTTTAGAGTTGATTATGAACAGAACAGGGGTGGAAATTAAAAATTTTCCCCACCAGCCACAGTGGCTGGTAGAAAAAGTTTTGTACTGGCCACTCAAACTTTTTACCAGCCACTATTTTTTTTGTTTGTTTGTTTCTGTAACACGGTGTCCTTTAGACAATTCATGGTCCTTGGTGGCCTAATTAAATTGTTTGTGCTACAATCAGATAATGGCACTCAAAATCTATTAGTGTCTTAGAGTATTCACAGATGACAGCGCGCAGGAAAGGAGGAGGGGGAATTTATTTCTAGCTGCAGAGCGGGTTGGAAGATGATGTTTAACGTCCTACAGGCTTCTTTTTTTTTTTGTTCATTATGCACCCGCCACCGTGGCGGATGCGTTGTTCAGATCTACACATCACTTCATAATTTTACCCACATTTGGAACAGAAATGTTACAGCTAATCATCATAAAATGTTTTTCAGAGATTTTATTTAGAGTCTCTCAGAGGATAAGTTAAGTAGGTTATCATGATGTGTGTTTGCTCAACCATACAGCATAACCTTGACTGGCGCCTGGCAAGTTTCTTAACTTTCCTTATTCTGACTCATCCTTACGCCTAGAGGCGGAACTAGGTTGTCCGTTCTTATRCTAACCCGGACAGCTTTGTGCAGAACACTCTGACTTGAAGGCCCTTTCTCAATCAGTGGCTACACACTCCCCCCTACTCCCTACACACTACACTCGCTGTGAAGCCCCCTCACAGCTGAACTGAGTCCCCTTGATGGCGCTGTGAGGTCTAATTATACACCCTCCTCTTTTGAGACGGGCTCTCCTCACACCACCGGAACAGGAAGCTGTCGTCACCATGGTAACAGTCCAACCTCTGGCAGCGACTGAATGCAGGAGAACAAACTCTTTTAAAAAAGACCAAAGAAAATATTTAATTAGGCCCACATTTTAAAGAGTTTTCAGATATGACTGTATTTGTAACAAACACAGTGCAATAACTTGTCAAAATAATTGCACTTTTAACATTTTTAAAATCATTTATTTATTTTTTCTTTATTGTTTAAATGTTTCCTTCTTTTTTAAATATGGACCAGGGTTCTGTGTCTTTAATAAACTTTGAATTGAATTAAACTTGATTTTTGGGAAATTATATTTGTTGGTGAGGTGTTTACTTTGTAAATATGTGTACAAAACATATGTGGAACTTACTGGTATATTTATACGTCCCGTGCTCCATGTGGACCACTATTTGATGCTGCACCTGCTGCTCAAGTCTGCACTGGATGTAGACTCTGTGGAGGGCTTAATAAGCCACTCGCCCTCCAACCTAATTTGTTTCAGATGGGATTTAATATGGCCAACCCTCTGCGGGAACGTGCAAACTGAGTGAGTAGGGAGTAGGGCGAAGGTGTAGCCACTGATTGGGAAAGGGCCRAAAAGGAAGAAGCTGTTTCTCCTCTTCAGAGGAACTCAGCCTGTGAGCTGAAAGATCCAACTCAAGAGCCAAAGAGTGGGTTTTTACAGCCAGGGATTCGACAAGCCTGTCGGATCCCCATACGAGGTTTGAAAACCTCCAAAGCAATTATTTTTTCCCTTCCTTGGTGGAAGTGATTTTATTTTGAAGAAGAAACCGGATCTAGCTCGACTCTTCTCTCCCGGGACTGAGGCAGACCTAGAAGGTTACCAGAGAAATAACACGTGTTTAACCGATGAAAAGTGAGCGGACCGACAAAGTCTTTCTAACCGATCAGAGGTGGGCTAGTTCTCAATACTCAGAGGGTGTCCAAGAAGTCATCAGAAGGTAAAGAGGCTGAAGTGTTTCATGGTGATTGGGTCCGGCGGAAKCTGGGTTGAGAAAAGAAGTGTGGTTCCGGTTGACTCACATTTTGGTAAAAAGTAAAACAGTAGAAATACTAACCTTACTTTTTCCTCCTTTTGTTGTTACTATTTTGCCTTGCCAGAATCTAAGTTAATGTGCCAGTAAATGTTTGGTTTATTTAACATCAGAACTGACGTTTTACTTTCTATTATAAGTATTTTTGAGTTGATATTGATTAAATTCGGACACAGATTTATATCTTATTAATTCTAAAACTTGTTATAGGAAGCTGATTATCCACAGTTAAGTTGTTAACTCATGATTTGTTTACTTTATGTAAATAAACGATCGCATATTGTTTATGGATCAAACTGAACTCATCTGAGTGTTCCACTTATTGTGTGTCTGATTAACTTTGCACAGTCAAGAAATTGATTAAAAATTAGAAATTCCTTGGTAAATAATTTCCTCATAACTTTGTTGTGATACGTGTGGGAAAAGCTAATATTTCTATAAGCCTCCTCCTACAATTACATGTGTTTCTTTAAGTTTTTTCACTTTTCTTGTCTTTGTTTGGTTCAGCCTTGGAGACAGTGGATGCAGACAAGGTGTACGTCCTCGGTGGTCTTGTCGATGAAAACATCCAGAAGGTTTTAAAACAGATTTGAACTCATTGTTTTATAGCCGTACATGCAGGGCGGGTACTGTAGATCAGTTCAAATCTTGTCTCTCCGCTGCAGAAGCTGAGCCTGTCCAGAGCCAGAGAGCTGAGCGTCCACACAGCGAGGCTCCCCATCGACGAGCACACGCTGAAGAAAACCAACGCCAAGAACTTCCACTCCAAGATTCTGGCAGTGAACCAAGGCGAGCGCTGATATCTGTCTTTGACACGTTTTAAAGTCTTCTTACTGTCTTCAGTTTGTGACATTTGCCTCTTCGTCCGCAGTCTTTGACATCTTGTTAACGTTCGCTGAGACGGGCAGCTGGACGCAGGCTCTGCAGGCCTGCTTTCCTGCGGGGAAAGGTTACGTAATCTCACCAGGTGGCTCAACGCCGCTTCCTGCTGCAGCACAGACTCAGGACGACGATGAGGAATGTCATTAAAGACTTGTTAACTTCGCAGTATCTGTGCAATATGTGCCGAATGTTTCACTTTATGGTTTGATTTGTTTTTCAGTCATTCATTTTCCACATTCTGTCATTGTGTGAATGCTTATCTWCCATACAGTTTAAAGCACGGCTCTCATTCTGAAATGTTTGTGTTATTTAAACAATTTATGTATCAAAATGTTCAGCTGTTTCAGGACAATACAACTATGACTTTCAGTGCTTCAGTATTTTATAATTTTTAAGACATTTAGCTTTTTTTTTCTCATAGAAAATGAATGGAGTTGTCCTCAACATCATTAAAGGCACAATGTGTGGGATTTTGTCAATTCTTTTAGCCAAAATTAAGATAATCACTAATGACAATAATAAAAACATGTCTAATCATTGCAGACAAAGACCTTGTTTTATTATTTTTACCTTATAAAAAGCTGTTTATATCTCCATGGTCGCGGGTCGCCAGTACAGGCAGCCGCCATCTTGCACCTCCATCTTGTCTACGAAGGCTCATGAAGGACAAACTGCGGTGGCGGCGTCAAAAACGGTTTTAGTTATAATACTATAAATGTAATATTTGTCTGTCATTGTAGCTGGGAAAATTTTACTTATTAAAGCTCATAATCTTACCACTTGAAACATCACTAGCCCTGAAGCTGCTGGTAGACATTGCGGTTGGAATTATCAAAGGTTTTTGACACCTGAGAGACACCGTAGCAACTCCTTTGTGTTTGGAAGTGGGGGGTGGGGGTGGGGGGAGGACCAGGGAGGATGATTCAACCACTCAACCACTAGATGTCGCTGAAAACAACAAATCCTACACACTGTGCCTTTAAAACCCTGGAAATTTTCACACATTTTTACTGTAGTTTTTATATTTCATTCTGCCTTTTTTTAAACTCATTTGTACTATTCTAGCTACTGTTTACCTGATTTTAGCCTCCCCCTTTTTAGCTATCTGACCTTTTCTACTACTTGTCTGCTATTGTCAACCTTTTTGTGCTTCTTTCAGCTGATTTCTGCTAATTTCAGCTGTTTTTTGTGTTTTAGCTACTTTTTCATTAATTTGAGCTTTTTTCAGCTAATTTAATCTTTTTACAATAATTTCAGCTTTTTACTGCTTAATTTAGCAAATGTGCTCTTTGTTTATTTGTGCTAATTTAAATTATTTAAGCTACCTTTTTTTCAGTTTCAGTTTTTTTTAATTATTCAGCAAGAATCGTTCATCAAGCATTCAATTGTCTCGTTCTGATTGATTATATGGATCCAGATCATGTTCTTAACATAACAAAGCTTCAGATTGGAGGTTTTCTCAGGTTTCTTTAGAGATCATTTGGTTTTTGTCTTTTAAGCCATTTTTGTTGTTTTCTTTGCAACATGCACAACCTTTTATTTATTTAAGCAATCATTGTTTGGTATCAGCCTGAAACCTTGAATAGTGAAAAGTAGTGAAAATGCAGAAAGTTTTCTCAAGAATAGTTTTTTTAAATATACAGTATTTGTGACCCTTTCCCTTTGGCTGGTCCAACAACGTCCGCTTCAGAAAAAACACATTTCCACCAGCACGTTATTGAGAACCACTACCAGTTAGTTCATTTTCATGTTTTACTTTCCTATAAAAACCTGAACGATGGCTCTGACTCAGCATGCTCAATAATAAAACTGAAAACTTATAAAAAAAACATACAGGGTTGTTGTATTTAGTTTATTGTGAGACTGTTGWCTGTTTGTAAAATCGTGGTGAAGCTGAAAGAAACTGTCAAATTTTCACTGTAGCAGTAAAACATCACAAAGAGATCAGGTAAAGACTCCAGTCATTTATTGTGAAACAGAAAGCATATAGCCAGAACAGCTAAAATGACAGAAACCGCAGCATTGCATATTATTGCCTAATTTTTCCCTCACTGTAATTTGTCACATCAGCTTCAGCAGAGGTTCTTCCTCTGATACTGGGACAGTTCCTCAGGAACCATTGTTGAGTTCAGTTTTACTAAGAGGAACTTGGGAATTTAAAGCTTTGTTTGCCTTTTTGCTTTTGAACATTTTGTCCGATAAATCAACCTCAGAAAGTTCTTTTTATTTATTATTGTTTGAGGTATTGGCTGCGTCCAAATTCAGAGACTGTTTTCTTCTAAGGTTGATGACGTCACTGCAATTCACCCAAGGTTTAAAGCAGTTGTGTTGTTAGGCTTTTATTTGTGTCGTTTTTTATATTCTTGTCAGAAATTGTAAACAAGCTTGTTCAGCAGGTCCTTCATGTATCGTCTTTAAAGGTGCTGAYTGTTTCTTTAATTTTGGTTTTCCTTTGAACATGCTGTATATATGAATCTGGAGTGTCTTTTTGTTTGTATCCAGTGGCAGCTGGTCGCATTGGCTCAATTTTTCTTCAGCTGGAGCAGAGAATATAAACATCAGTCTCCTCAGCCCTCCAATGTTAGTATTAACATACCAGACAAACCTCAAAATTAGGTTTAAATTAAACTATTATTATAGCTACTGTCACAGCTCAATGCTTTGCTTCTTTGTTTTTGAGGAGATGATTTAATCCTGAGTATTTAAATTGATTTTTTGAAACAGTTCTGTGTAACAGCTTCGATGTCAAGTATTTCTTGAGAAAACTCTTGAGCCTGGARGTAAAGTCAGRCACATTCTTGAATCCCGGCCTGGTTTTCAACTTCAAACGTTTTTTTTATAATCSTGCTGAAACCAAATCCTGGTCTGAGAAAGGTGAGATGAGATATGTTCATGTTTTATGTTTGTGTGAAACATTCATCTTGTGTGGTTGTCACTGACATCTAAACTCTTACAAATATATTTAACAAAAACAAAATTGTCCTGAGGGTTAAAAGCAGCTTTTGGAGGATCTACAGTGAGAATGATCACTGAGTTTAACTCACAGCACCTGGTGGCCATGCAACTCAACCAGTGCTGAGTATTTCTGTCTCCGTTGTTACTGCAGCTGTCACCACATATCAGGAAATTCAGTTTTTCCTGACATACAACTTTGAACAAGTTTGATTTTTGAGGTAAAGTAAATTAATGCAACAGTCGTCCAATCTGAACACATTTGTTTCTACAGATTCTCCTTAAAATAAACTTGTGATCTTTTGTTTAGATAAATGCAGTTCAGATATGAACTTGCAGAAAACTAAATGTCATCAGTTTCCTGCAAAGTTATTTTTAGTATTAATGAGCAGAAGACACAACTGAGAGGGTTCTAACATCAGAAACATGCCTCTATCAAGTATTGTTAAAACACAACACTCAAAACACACTTTGTGTTTAAAGCTGAACTTCCTTTTAATACCTTACAGGCACAGTGTGTAGGATTTGTTGTTTTCAGCAACATCTAGTGGTTGACCTGATGCATCTCAGTAATCCAGGTAAAAAATCAAAAAGAAAAAAATTGTGTAGGTCTTCTGGACGGGTTCTTCTCTAATGAAACATTTCATCTCTCCTCCAAGAGACTTCTTCAGTCTGAGAGTTTCAGGCAAAATTCAGGCTTTTAAGCCCTGCCTCCATGTGACTGATA